CCCTTGCCGTTTTGCATTTTTTTCAGGCCGGGAGTGGTGCGGATTAAAAGGAAGAGTTGAAAAAAATCCCCGTGCACATGCGCGATGTCTTTAAATTAATGTGTAGCGCCCTCAGGATGCGGCATGAATGACGACACGAAGTCCACGATAAAAATACAGGGTTTATTCCTGGCAACCCGTGAGAACTGGTCCCACGAACATGAAACATACAAACAAGTGGCATTACGTACCAAATAAAGAAAACTACGAAGACAATTGATTTAACATAAATACACACAAACCTCGTGGGCTCACACCCATAAGGGGCTAAACTTCGGCCGAAATCCTGCCCGTCGTCGACTTGCCTCATACGGTAGGTTCTCGGCACTCTCGTCTTCTTACAAAATGGCTACATTGAGCTTGCAAACATGTTCTTTTAACGTGCGCCAGTAACGTGTAACGGCAACTAGGGTCGGGTGGACCTTTATCCGCGATAAATGGTTCCGGCCAACAATCGCCACTAGATGGCATCAGAACACCAATAACGAAACTGCTTAATGGAACATATTGGCAGTAACAATGTGAAAAGAGTGAATATGAAATGGAGAAATCTACACAAGTTTAAGATCGAATTTTTTCGAAATTAAGTTTCACCAGGAGATGTCCCTCTTGGCCTATGAAGCTCTCGAAAATGTCTGCATAGTCATTGCATATAAACAACTTTATCTCGTAGCATTTCATTAAATTTTCCGAGCGTCATCAATGTGCAGGTCGCAACTTTTCCACAACAGCATTTTGGGTTGTTGTTTGGCGAGCTTGTATAATGCAATCGGCACTCGCGTTTCTTGACCAAAAGCAAGTTTTTTTTTTTTAGACTTGGAGGAAAGCCTATACTGAGACCAAGAGATTTACAACAGGTATTTGGAAATAAATCGAACGATTGACTGAACCATGTAAACCAGGTTTTTCTGAGTATCCCATTACTGAAGTGCATATAAACGCATCATCTAAACATGGCTGTGGTGATTGTGGTCATCTAAATATCGCTGAAACAAAATCATTAAATAATTATTTACAACGTTGTCTTATTTGGCGAGCATCATCTCGCTGTTTTTGTTTTCTTTTCCGACGGTTAATGCCAACGACATGTCCAGATATCAAAAAATAAACATCTGACAAATTTGTGATTGAAGTATAAAGAAACAAACTACTTGGGAATGAAATAGAGGTGGTTGGCGGGCTCCAAAGGGAGCCTGACAAGAGGTCCGCACAGGAAATTAATCTTTTTCCGATAAATAAGCAAACATTCATTGAACGTGTGCCTCATAATCCAAAGTGGGTTCTGCGCAGTATCCTTGCTGTTCCCAGCACTAGTTTGGGGGTCACTTCCCCGAGTGATCCGATCACCACAGGCACGACTGTCACCTTGCACGTTTCCCCTGGAGCCGCTCCATAACCCACAAAGACATCCACAAGGAATCATTATCTTGAGATCATGTAAGCATGTGCATCGCGTCAAGAAGTGCACTTCCCCAGAAACACAGTTGGGTGCATTTTTGCCAAGGCGGTGCAGTCCATGCATTGGTCACGTGATTGTCTTAAAGCGGTACCGGCATGTGGGTCAGCAAATTGATGTTGTGGGACCCATCACGAGTATCTATATATCTATCTAGATGTATAAATTTCTCT